TACCTATGCATGGTATGACATTTGTACGCATATGCATGGCATTGTAAATATTATTGATTCACAAAATTATTCAGACTTACATGTAGAGTCTTTTACTCCATGTTTCTCATGTCTATTATTTACTGATGTTCATTCCTTACATACTCGGTACATTATTTGTACTGATATCCCTTTTTCCTGGGGACGCTGCGTTTCATGCCCGCAGGTACCGATAGACAGGTTGAGAGTCCTCCAAGTAGGCTATCAGCTCAACGGGAGATGTCGATGCGCTCCATTTGCTCCGGAGTTGCTATTTTGTCAGTATCATTAGGACATTTATTGATTGGTATGGCGGGGCTTTGTTCCGACCTTTATGATAATTATATATTCTTAGAGGCTTGTAGACAGATATCATGTGTACGGGTATTTGTTTGGCCTTGTCGGCCTATGTTTTGAGTTTATAAATGATCATGTTGGCCTTATAGGCCCGTATGTCACGTGTATGAGGTTTTATATCAGGTTGGGTCATTCTATATCGGGTAATTCCCTTATGTTTACTCTGTTTATCTCATGACGCCCCTTCTGGACCACTTACCTATGATGATGTAATAAGAAAGATACGTTATGTTGGTACTCGATTGAGTAAAGTACTGGGTGCCCGTCGCGACCCATCGGTTTGGATCGTGACAAATATGAGCTGGATAGGAAAAATGGTTCTACCTGGGTTAAGCTACTTTAAACTTCCTGAGCGAAGAGTACTTCTACCCGGAAATATGAGTTTTATCCCCCTAGGCAAAAATGTTCTACCTGAGTTAAGCTACGTAAGACATCCTGAACGAAGAGTACCTCTACCCAGAAATATGAGTTAGATCCCCCTAGGTGAAAAGGTTCTACCTGGAATTTAAGGGTAGTTTAAGGCTGATTGGAGCAGGTTTTGGGGAGGTTTTCGGGGTAATTTTGAGGTTGTCTTGGAGGTCATTTTTTGGAGGAGGAAGAAGGTATTTTCTGGCTATCTCCTTTTTAGTGGGGTTTGTGGGTGTATATGTAATAAAAAAAGAGAGGAAGAGTGTTGAAAATGATTGATGGGACAAGGGAATAGTGAAAGGAGAGTGAAATGTGACATTGAATAGTGTAGTAGGTGGTTTATGGGACATGAAAATAGTGTAGGGAAGATAGGAAGTAATTTTATTAGATTTGGTCCGTGATTAAAATAAATTCTTCCGTCCTCTATGTAAAAGACTTTATTAAAAATATTACATATTCTCTAATAAAGCCTACTGATAAAAATAACATAAAAGTTAAAATATCAAAATTAAACCTAAAAATTATCAAATACAAACTGATTAAAATTCAAATATAGTCAAAAATTAGGTGCTCACAGTGACTATAAACTTTATCACTTGTCTACCGAAGTCCGACGGTTATGGTACTATTATGGTGGTCGTGGATAGATTTTCTAAATATGCCACCTTCATGCCCGCCTCACCAGGTTGTACTGCCAATGAAGCCGCCAAGCTATTGTTTAAGAGCGTGGTAAAGTATTGGTGCTTACCAAGGCATATTATCAGTGATCGAGACCTCCGCTTTACTAGGAACTTTTGGAGAGAGTTAGTCGACATACTTGGCACAGAACTAAAAACTTTTCCACTTATTTCCACCCACAGACGGATGGACATACGGAACGGGTCAATGCCATACTAGAATGCTACTTGAGGCATTATATAAACGTGCATCAGAAAGATTGGGCAAGGCTCCTGGACATCACCCAATTCTCTTATAACTTGCAGCGGTGTGAGTCCACGGGGCGGACACCATTTGAGCTAGTCATAAGCCAACAGACACAAATTCCACATTCATTACCAGTTCAGTTTGAGGGAAAGAGTTTGGGGGCTTATCATATGGCCAAAGGATGGGAGGAGCAGCTTGACAGTTCTAAGTCCTACTTGGATAAGGCAGTTAAGAAGATGAAGAAGTTTGCAGACCGTAAGCGGCGTCCCACGGAATATAGAGTTGGGGACATGTTAATGGTGGAGTTTAACCCAAGATAGTTCAAGGCACTACGGGGCATGCATCAGAATCAGATTCGCAAGTATGAGAGGCCATTTAAGATCATCTCCAAGGTAGGCAAGATCTCATACAAGCTTGACATGCCATCATATCTTATGATCTATCTTGTCTTCCATGCTAGCATACTTAAGCCATATCATGAAGACAAAGATGATCCGAGTAGGAGCCAATCAAGTCGAGCGCCTATTACTATCACTGCCTCACATGACCGGGAGATTGAGGATATTATTGATTACCAGGCCGGGCGAAAACAAAGGCAGAAAGCCACCGCAATGTTCCTCATCCATTAGAAGGGGCAATCTCCGGAGGAGGCCAAGTGGGAATGATATGAAGACTTATGGCACTTCAAAGATAAGATCCGAGAGTTTATGCAGCAACATTGAGCCGCGGTCGTCGCAACATTAGGTGGGGAGAGTGTGATGACCCGCCACGTCACCATGCCATATAGGCATAATTTGGCATATATTAATACCATGTGAAAACTTACGTAGGAGAAAATCTAGTATTTGTGAGAAGATTCTAGAGAAGAATGAACATTTATTTTGGAAGACCCTAGATGCTTATGGATTTGTTAGGAAAGTCCTTGGAATCTTCTAGGCTTGTAGAGAATTCTAGAGAAAGCCCTTATCTTATAAATATTAAGAACTTGTGTAACAATTAATATTTACACTCTAGCTCCTAGGAGACTAGTACATAAAGGGGGTCATCCATTTATAATTCACCAAGAAAATAATTTAAGTTCTCTCTTATACAAAGCTTCCTTTAACAATTCTCTTGTATTCTTTCTAAAGGCTGACTTAGCATAGCAAGAACGTGAGCAAGTTGTGCAAAATCGTGAGCGAGTTGTCAAGTGCCGCACGTGTATTTAGTTAACAACTAAGGACGTGACACATGTCTAGGCAATAGCTTCCAAATGTTTTGAGAAAATAATGAAAGATATAAGTTTCACTAGAATAATGCCTAGATAGTGAGACAATCGATAATTAATAAGCCTTAAGTTATTGGTCCTTTACGTCACGAGAACGACTATGCAGGCTTCATGCCATGTATTTTCCGTCTTTTAGAATACTATGTTTTTAAAAATGAGTATACGTTATAGAGTAACCTTTTTACTTATATAATGTACATGTGATTCTATATTTGGAAATTTGATGAGTTAGAGCATTATGGTTTACATAAATATTTACATGCATATGCATATATAAATATCAAATATTTACGGAGTATGTTTCTTTGATATTGAAAATTAGAAAGAATACAAGTCATTACTTTGATTTTGATTTTACGTAGTTGAGTATGGTTTCACTGTTGATAAAAAAACCGGGCTACGAGTTAGCTCTAAACTTGTTTTGTATCTTCTTTTTTTTTGGAATCAAGAGTTTGAAAGTGGTTATTGGATTTGAACCACCAAAAAACAAAAAACAAAAAAAGTAGATTAGAGACAAAAAGTTACTAGTACTATTATCTTACGACATTGTAGAGGGGAAGGTAAAATCAAAATCAAGGCAATCCTAACATACCAACTTATAGTACATACATAATAGCATAATATGCATATGCCCACTTCAGCACATAAATTTTTAACATCGACCCACGACTATCATATAGTACAAACAGTAGAACTTCTCCAATTCCAGTTCAAAGTAATGCAAGTGCAGAAATAATAATAATAATAATGGTTATAAAGGAAAAGAGGCTGGCGTTTTGCAGTAAAATCCCAGCATGACTTATATCTGTGTTCATGCCAGCACCCGACGGGCCTAAACCATTGTTAACACCTCCTAATATGCCCGTGTTTGTCACGTATGGAGATCCGCCTGTGGTGGCTGTGCTAGTCGATGGTGTTTTTGTGGCGGGGCTGGTAGTTGTAGGGGTGGCGCTGAGAATCAAAGAAGCAACTTGTCATCTTAACCTCAGAACAATTCAGGACATAAGTAATCAAGAGGAAAAGAGAAGACCAAGATACACTAATTAACAACTCTTCTACATCACTAAGGCACATGACATCTCATAAACTAATTTAGGTGCAGATGGTAACAACATAAAAGGCTTATTCTTTCCTTGAGGCATGTATGTAAAGCAATTGGAACGTGTGGTCTAGCTTTTATTGCAGAATCCATCAAATTATATCTCTTTATTTCAATCAATTTCACATTGCAGCCTTTGAGTTTCAAGTAGTAAATTAGATGGATTATTAGCGGTAGATAATATGGGTAACCATATTTTTTCATGGCTTTATGAATATGATCACTTTTGGGAGAATTCCTAGTCTTCCAATCTTCATGAACCTCCAATTTGAGGTTTTACAAATGTAAAAGTTAAAACCATTAGTTATTCATTTTCTAAACGGATAATATGGTTCTTATCTGTTTTTAAAAAGTTCATTATTCAGCCCATTTTTTAGTGGATAATATGGGTTAACTGCTTTTTTTTAACCATTTTGCCACCGCTAACCATGCCTAAGCCAAAACACCCTTTTCTCTGGCTACATTTTTAATGTGCAATGTGACTCCATCTCTGATTCATTAGAATGTGCATTACCTACATAAATTGCATCTAGTTGCTCAATATAACCACAAGAATATAATGTAATGAAGACTTCAGTGATTCAGTCCCAGGTTAAGTACAGAGGTAAAACCTCAGGCCAAAAGGTCCCAAACATAAGCTAAGTATTATGCTCAGTTAAAATTTACTAAACTACGATATTATGCCTTGTACAGCAACATCCTAAATGTAGTAAAGCTAACCTATTTTGAAGATCACTTCTATCTCAACCATGGCAAACTCTAATAAGACCCACAGCATAAAACGTCCTCCTCTAATTAGTTGAATCACATGTCTATTTTGAAGATCACTTCACTCAGCTCAATGCTTTTTACCTTATACATCTTATACCTCCTCACCCCAGATTCATGCCTCCTCAAAACACCCCAATAATAGGGCAGCTAGCAAGATTTTGTGTAGACATTAGGGCCTCTCCAACCTTAACCACTATTTTTTACACCAAAATGGTGGAAATTAAGACCATCTCCAACCTTACACTAAATTTTATTTTGGTGCTCCAACCAAATACCATTTCTTACACTATTTTTGTGTGTGAGTAGTGTTGCACCAAATCTAGTATAACACTATTCATCAATATTTTATTATTATATAACACTTTTAATTTAACATATTATAAATTTTACTTTTTTCATTTAGATCCCTAATATACCTAATTGTTTTTATGCAATATATTTATAATATTAATTATTATACCCTCCGGGTAGGGTTAAGGTCTGCGTACATTCTATCCTTCCCAAACCCCACTAATGAGATTCTACTAGGTTGTTGTTGTATATTTATAATATTAATTTTACATCTTAATTTTGATGTATAATTTTTATAAAATAATTTTCGTATATGTTATTTTTATATAAAATTGTATAAAAGAATATAACCCTCACAAAAATGAAAAGTGCTAATACAAAATATAATATGTTGTTAATAAATAACACAATGTTCATTAAATAACATAAAAATATATATTTAATAAATTAGCGACTGACATAGATTAAAATTGAAAATACATTAAATAACACAATAATTTAGAAAATTATAACAATAATTTAGATAATTTAGTACTCTAGTAGGTCGATTCCAGATCCACAAATATATATTGAGTGTATAGGGCAGAGGATTGTTGACTTCTTTTATCCATTAGTCGTTTTCGTTCTTGTCGAATAAATTCGCGAATATTTGGATCATCAATAAAACTAAATTCGACAATAAAATTTTATTTTCTTCTTTAATTTCTTTTAGTTTCAAGGCTCTATCTTTTATCCCCATATCTCGCCGTCTGCCTGCACTTTGCCAACAACTCAACAAGCCGATTATTTTCTGATTGGACCATTTTCATAGCAAATGAAAAACCTTCATCAGCTTTTCTCTTCATTTNCTTATCTCAAATTTATCTTTAGGTAAAGTATCTCTACACATTCTTTAATGTGTAAAGATAAAGTAGACATATTCTTTATCTTCAGAGATAAAATTTTTAGAGATAAAGTAGACACATTGTAAAGAATGTTTAGAGATAAAGTAGATAAATAATATCTTCAATATCATTATCTCTAAAGATAAAGAATGTGTCTACTTTATCTTTATACATTGAAGTATGTGTAAAGATATTTTATCTAAAGATAAATTTGAGATAAGGATAAAATCCATCCGACGATTGAGATTAGGATAAAATTCATCCAACGGTTGAGATCAAAATGAATCTAAGTATGTATTATGTCAATTTTTGGCTCTACTTATATCTATATATATTAAAGTGCCAACATACCCATTTACGAAGTTGACTTTTGTTTTTCTTTAACCATATAAGCCATTTTTCCTCCAATCACTAACAAAGAATGTCCACTCGATCAAAAGGATACTCTACCAACGAAGATATGCTATTTATGCTTTATTTAGATTAGATGTTTCTCAAGATCCAATGACAGGAGTACATCAACCTAGAGATCATTTTTGGGGTCGAGCGGATGAAGCATACAATAATGCAAAGGATGAGTTTTGGGTGTATCGCAACACAAGATCGGGGCAAAATCGAATTAAAGTTATTGAGAAGGCTATAAGAAAATTAATTATGCATCCTGGTGGTGCTTTAGATAAAGATATTGTGGTATTTTGTTTGTAATTACTTATACTTTATTTGTATATATTTACTTACAATTTTCCTTCAATTATTTTTAAAAAATATTGCCGATTAATCAAGCAAAATGTTTACTTACGCAATATCCGAACTACAAAATAGATTTTAAATTTGATCATGTGTGGGATATGTTGAAGGATTTTGAGAAGTTTAAAGATGTTGATGTTGGATGAAAAAAAGTTCGAAAGCATAGCTCTTCCTATATATCATTGGAGTCTGAGACTCATACTCCTGATTCACCTCTAGTATCATCTCCTAACTTGTTATCGTTTTCACTAAATTTGAATGAGGATGTTGCATGTGATTTCACATCATCAGAACGACCTATTAATTGGGGTAAAGAAAACAAAAATGAAAAGAAAAATTGATGGAGGTTTTTCATATGAGAAAATGGTCGGCTTGTTGAGTTGCTGGCAAAGTCAAGTGCGGCAGGCAGCGAGATATGGAAATAAAAGATGAGCTTTGAAATTAAAAGAATTTAAAGAAGAAAATAAATTTTTTTTGTCGAATTTAGATTCTATTGATGAACCAAATATTCATGAATTTATTCTACAAGAACAAAAAAAATAATGGATAAAAGAAGTCAACAATTTCAACAGCCACGCCACAACAATCCTCTGCCCCATACACTCAATATTTAAATGATATTGGTGGAATTTGAATCGACCTACCAGAGTACTAAATTCTTATTATAATTTTTTAAATTATTATGTTATTTAATATATTATCAATTTTAATCTATATCGGCCGCTAATTTATTAAATATTTATTTTTATGTTATTTTATGAATATTATGTTATTTATTAACATATTTATTTTATATTTGTACCTTTTTTTGTGATGTTTATATTTTTGTATACAATTATAACTTATAATAGAATTAACTTACAATTTTATATAAAAATCATATATACGAAAATTAATTTATAAAAATTATACACTAAAAATAAGATATAAAATTAATATTATAAAGATATTACATAAAAATAACTAGGTATATTAGGGACCTAAATAAAAAAGTAAAATTTATAATTTTTTAAATTAAAAGTATTGTATATAATAAAAAATAAAAAAAATGATAAATAGTGTTACACCAAATTTGGTGTAATATTATATCCACACCAAGATGGTGTAAGAAATGATGTTGGGTTGGAGCACCAAAACATCAATTATTACACCAAAATAGGGTTTGGTGTCATATTTAGTGTAAGGTCGGAGATGGTCTTAAAAATTTTGAACAGTGCGTGCCTTTTAAAACGTGGATAATAAGGGGACTTCTAGATAAAAAATAAATAAATATTTGCACTAGGTATTTACACTAAATTCTATGAATACAAGACATGCGTCTTTAATATATATTTTTACTTTAATTTGTATAAGCAAGAGTTAATTACTTAATTTGGTATAGATAGCAGTGCATATAAGCCTTTTGTTTTTACTTAAATTCTTGGTCCAGGAGATGCATATTTAAGAGAAGTAATTTGGGTGCTGTTTTGGGGGGCCAACCTCTTTTCTTCATGCACATCAATGTTTTAAATGCAGCAGCCGTACAAATCCTTACATCTCGCTAACAACCCACGGAACATAATCCAAAATTTAAATTTTATAATTTAATATTTAAAATTTTTAGTATTAAACTTATTATATTAAATTTTTACACATAAATTAATACACTATTTAAAATATTGCATTCGCCTCATTAGGTAGCATAGATCAACCACAGTACTGTTTGGAAAGGTCTTTAGAAGGATGTCGCATTAAGTCAAGAAAGAAAGCAACCTTATCTAAGCATCAGTCCCTCTTTGAAGGCTTTTAGGGTTCCTTTGATAGGATGCATTAGATAAAATAATTAATATATTCATTAGATTTGGTATACTTTTTGAACTTATGCATTAGCTATGCAAGCATTGGCTATACACCATATTTAGTATTATCCTATGCATAACTAATGCATAAAAACCATGATATTAACAATGCAATGAGTTTTAATGCATGTATTAGCTTATATAAAGACAAAATTATCCTTCAAAAACTATGCTTGATTAAAATATTATATTAATGCAAGTTCGAAATAATCCAAATAGTGAGAAATAAAATTATATCCCTAGTAAATAAATACTTAGCATATTTTTTTTATAAATAAATATTCAATTCTATACTACAATATAGGTAGATAAATCAGATAATTCTTTTAAAACTTTTTTCATATAAAAACATTCCTCAACATATGTTTCTTTTAAAAAAAATAGAATGATGGACTGATCTTAAGGGCATTTTTGTAAACAAATAATTCTTTTAGAAATTGTCCAATGCTTTAATGTATCAAACCAAACAATAAATAAAAAATATATCAACGTAACTAATGCAAACATAACTAATATCATTATTACTAATACACCATATTCACCATTATTCTTATGTATTTTGTAATACATCCTACTAAACGACTCCTTACAGTTTTCAATTATTCATTTTGTAATACTTGCCACTTGCCAGCAATGAATAATTTGTTATTTCAATGTGGACAAGGACAATACCCTCTCTAATGGTCAGTGTCCGATGACACGTATAACCCCACCAGGCATCGACTTTTGACCACATAATTTTTTCAGGTGCAACTGTGATTTACCTTTCTCACCTAAAGAGATCTGTGTATGAACAGTGTTAACTAGGGTTCCGTAATAACTAGAGTTTTACTGAAGTGCGAGAAAAGGATGTGAATATTGTGTACAACAACAACAATACATTATAATCTCGCTAGTGGAGTGTGGAGAGGGTAGTGTGTACGCAGATCTTGCTCCTACCCTGAAATAGAGAGACTGTTTCCGATAGACCCTCGGCTCCCTCCCTCCAAAAACTCTCTACCTTGCAATTGGAGTTACTCGAACTCACAACCTCTTGGTTGGAAGTGAAGAGTATTCGCCACTAGAGCAACCACTCTACTTAATGTGAATATTGTGTGATGTTCAATAATTGCAGCATCGTAAAAAAGAAGATAAAAATCAATTAAAAAAGTAAAAAAGAAAAGAAAAACCTAATAAACAGTACAAAAGCAATAATTTTGTCAATCAGTCAAAAGCATCATGATGCGAGTGCGATGCTTTTCAATAATGGAGACAAAAAAAGAATAGATTAGATCAAAAGTGAAAAACTAAGTAGAGGTAATTGGATTTGATTTGGCATATATAACGATTAATTTCTACGGTAAACTAAAGGAATTTGAAAGATTGAGATTCAACTGCTTTATCATTTTACTCTTTATCGAGAGTAGAGAGATGCCCATCTCACAAAAGAGAAAAATCGGAGAAAAAGGGAAACAGAGTCTAAAATAAAGGAGTTGCACATTATCAAGATGGTCCTATGGTCTAATCTATTCTCTTTTGACCAATTTATGTACTCCATACATTCTAATTTATCTAAATATGTTTGACCGACACGGAGTTTAAGAAATAAACGATTTTTTTTGAAATTTGCGGTCCTAACCAAGTCAAAAAGGAGGACAGAGTATTTATGTGGTTATAAAAGTTTCTCATTAAGGATAAAATTATAAGTTTAAGCTAAATTATTTTTAAATTTAAAAATGAATCATTCTTTTTAAAATGGATAAAAAAGGAACGAGGTTCACGTGAAGGGAAACGGGATAGTACTTAATAGGCATGTCAAGCCTATTCTGTGGGAAACCAACTTGCTTACCATAGAAAATTGGTGATCTGAGAGCTTTAGATCTCACTATTTGGACCTTATTTAATGATGAAATATTTTTGGAGTTCAAACCCTCTCGTTTATATCATGAATAGCTAAAGTAGCTTGAAAGATGTGAAATCATTGTTTTTAACCAATAACCAAAAAGATGGCCAAGGAATGGAGGGGTAGACATATAATTTCTTTCCTTTCCTTCCTAAGAACTTATTAGAGTGATGCTTCTACCCTGAAGCTGTGCATTGAATAGGCGAAAAGAGTACAGTAGCAAAAAGGAAGGCTATTTTAAGAACTACCTAACCTTCGCATTAAAAAGCATGGTTTAATTTTGACTTCAAGTGGACAAATAATGGAAACGGAGGCAGTAGTGCTTCAAAATATTGACTGCACTATAAAGAATACTTACATCCTACAAAATTAAGTAGCAGCAGTTTCGCGCATGGACACCTTAATTAAATATGTAAAAGAACCAACAGGCAATCCACTAAAACAAAATAGGACAAAACGAAAGATTGCCCCGAGTTAAGGACCTGGTAAATGAGATCTAGGATTAAACTTAGTAGGAGTATATATTATCAGCATAAAGAATATTTATATTATCATTATATTTTAATATGCGGTAGCAATTAAGTAAATTTTGTTGTGACGTTACTTGGACATTCTTGAATGGGTTGCTCTAGTGGTGAGCATCTTCCACTTCCAACCAGAGGTTGCGAGTTCGAATCACCCCAAGAGCAAGGTGGGGAGTTCTTGTAGGGAGGGAGCCGACGGTCTATCGGAAACAGCCTCTCTACCTGCGTACAAACTACCATCCCCAGATCCAACTGGTGGGATTATACCGGGTTGTTGTTATTGTTGTCGTGTTACTAATTACAATACATATTTTATTAATAACTATCGAATTATCGATAATTCTACGTTAAGTGATATAATTGTGTAACACAAAGTCGAAAAAATAATACTAGTAACACCGTTAAGAAGTCTTACTTACCTTGCACTAACAGGATAAGCACAGCCAGCGGTGCCTGTGTATTACCAAATTGAAGAGAAACATTTATCACCAAAAAAAATCTCCAAGAGATAAATACTAAAACTAATAACAGAGCTATAGTGTATGGAAATAATTTTAGTGAACTGTGTAAGAATTGACTTACTGGGGTCAGTAGCAGTAACAGTAGCAGTGCCAGCAAAATCACATGCGGTTGAAGTTTGACTCTTCTTCTGGAAATAGCTGTTGACAGCATAATTGCAGTGAGCTCTCACCGTATTGGGATTAAAGCAAGGCCCATTTGTATGAATAGGATTGCAGTCTGCACCAGCTCCACAAGCATAGTCCAGTGTCTTTTGTAAAGCTGCATCACTCAATCCTTTGCAAGCACACCATGCGGCATCTACCCCCAAAAATCCCAAAAAAATACCGAGGACCCTTAATTAGAAAGTACGTGGTCTTGCAAATTCAAGAAATTACCAAGAAAAGAAAGAAAAATGAAGATATAGAGTAATTTTCAAATTTAAAAAAAGGAGGAAAAAAATGAGCAAATATAAACTTCAAACGATTTTTCGAACTATTTTTCTTTGAGTCTAGGTCTATCGAAAACAATCATTCTATCTTTACAGTAAGATACTGTTTCTAAGATATAGTAACTGTTTCCGATACTTATGAAAATATAGTGGATATGTCGTTGTTATTGTAAACGATATGAGAAGAGAGTACTATCCTATTATATACTCCCCTTCCCCTGTCAGGTGTATCATGTGAAGCATATGAAAATAAAAAAATGTAGCTTATCTATTGTGGTTTATGCACGTATATGTGGATAGCGAAGGACTTAATTCAGAGGAGTAAGCAAGATACTTGAGGCCCGTTTGAAATGAGAAGATAACACATTTTTGCAAATGTAGAAAGAATAAAAGGTGGATGTGAATGTCTAAAAGGCAGACAGTAACACTAGTTAGTTTGATGCAGCTTTCGACGGGAAAAACATAAATAACTTTAAAAATGAAAGATAAAAGCTTACTAGAGTGGCCAACCATGGCCAAAAAGAGGAGTGCATAGAGAAAACCAGCCATGAGAAAAAGAATAACAGAGCTTGGAATGAAGAAGAGGTAGCAATATTCAGAAGATAAAACACTAATGCCAGTAAGCAGGAGACTTTGTGAGTGGAGAGTGTGATGATAGAATGAGGAGTGTAGAGTACAGTGATGGATTAATTCAGAGAGAAAAATACAAACAAGTTGATGCAGCGATATAGATGGTGGTATATATGTGGCCCCCTGGTGGCCTTACCTTTTGTTAAATTTTTCGGGCGTAGTGCATAATTAGCATATCCTTTTTTTCCTTTTTCTATTTCACTATCTATCTATCGATCGCCGAAAGGCCTGAATCACTTTTTTATCCATGTGTAAGATTTATTACTTAGTACTCTCTTTGTCTCTTTTCGTTTCTTTCAATTTTGACTAATATAATTTGAACTCGAAACATAAATTACTGTATTATATTTACTAGTAGTAATAGTAATACTTCTCTACGGAAAATGTGATAAAGTTTTATGCACCGATTGCAAGGTCATCCCGAGTGAGAACCTCACGACTCAGCATAGGCTTCTGATTATGGACCTGGAGATCAAGAGGAGTAGGAGGAAGAGGGCGGTGTGCAGGCGACTTAGGATCAAGTGGGCTAACTTGACTAAGGACAAAGCTCAGGAGTTGGGGGAGAGATTGTTGACTATGAGGGCATGAAGGAGTAGGGGGACGCGACTAGGATGTGGACCACGACAGCGGGTTGCATCAGAAAAGCTGCTAGAGAGATTTTAGGGGTCACGAGGATTATTTTGAGGGGTCATAAAGGGGACTGGTGGTGGAATGGGGAGGTCCAAGGTAAGGTGGATGCCAAGAAAGTGACTTATTTGAAGCTTGTGGAGAGTACAAACGAGGAGGATAGAAAGATATATCAAGAGTGTTATGAGAAGGCAAAGAAAGAGGCGAAGTTAGCAGTTACGACAATCAAGACTGCGGCGTTTGGACATTCGAACGAGGAACTCGGGGGCAAGGGCGGGGAGTGGCTTACTGAGTTGTTTAATATTATTTTTAAGACAAAAGGATGCCCGAAAAATAGAGGTGGAGTACGATGGTTCCATTGTACAAGAACAAGGGCGATTTCCAAAATTGCAACAACTACATGGGTATAAAGCTGTTGAGCCACACTATGAAGGTTTGAGAGAGGGTGGTGGAAGCCAGGGTGAGGATGACCGTGTCTATTTTCGAAAATTAGTTCGGATTCATGTCGAGACGGTCGACGACGGAAGCTATCCATTTGGTGAGGAGGCTAGTGGAGCAGTATAGAAAGAGTAAGAAGGACATGCATATGGTGTTCATTAACCTTGAAAAGGCGTACGATAAAGTCCCGATGAAGGTTCTATGGAGGTGCTTGGTGGTTAGCAGCATCCTCGTAGCGTACACTAGGTTGATTAAGGATATGTACGAGAGTGCTAAGACTCGGGTGAGGACTATGGGAGGAGACTCGGAATACTTTTCAGTTACCATGGGGTTGCACCAGGGATAGGCTCTTAGCCCATTCCTATTTGCCTTAGCAATGGACATGCTGACGCGGCACATCCAAGGGAAGGTGTCTTGGTGCATGTTGTTTGCAGATGAATAGTGCTGATAGACGAGACTCGAGGCATGGTCAACGCGAAGTTGGAGGTTTGGAGAAAGACTTTGGAGTTTAAAGGTTTCAAGTTGAGCAGGACCAAAACAGAGTACTTAGAGTGTAAATTTTATGGTAGGCCCTTGAAGTTGACGTGGATGTGAAGCTCAAGACTCAAGTCATCCCCAAGAGAAGTAGTTTCAAGTATATCAGATCTATTATACAAGGTAACGGGGAGATCTACGAGGTTGTCACACATCGTATTGGAGCGTGATGGATGAAGTGGAGGCTTGCCTCCGGTGTTCTTTGCGATAAGAATGTGCCGCCAAAACTTAAGGGTAAATTTTACAGAGTGGTGGTTCGACCTAACTTGCTGTATAGGGCGGAGTGTTGTCCAGTCAAGTGCTCCTTTGTTCAGAAGATAAAAGTAGCATAAATGAGGATGTTGAGATGGATATGTGGGTGTACCATGAAGGATAATATTAGGAATGAAGTTATTCGAGACAAAGATGGAGTGGCCTTTGTGGAGGACAAGATGTGGCAGTCGAGGCTGAGATGGTTCGGTCATGTTAAGAGGAGAAGCGTTAGGTTGACCATGGCGAGTTTGAGAAAAGGTCGAGGCAGAACATACTGCTCAGGCAATAAGCCACCTCAAACACTGACCAAGATCTCATATGACACCATCAATGCGCTGACAAGCCACTTGAATATGACACATAAGGAGGGACGAACTTTGGAACAGAATTACCCAGCCCTTGTAATGAATAAAATGGTCGAATTGATGCTATGAACCCTTCTCAGAGAATGAGAAACAAAATACACAAGAATAGATATAGGGAACACTCAACATATCATTGTTGCGGCGTGCAACCTGATCCACACATGATACCGTTGCGGCGTGCAACCCGATCCAAACAACATACCCCTGGCGGCGTACCACCCGATCCATACATAACAATAAATAAGAAAAATACACATCAAGCCATAGTGCTTATATCTATGAAATGCCCGAATATCGCCTACAAGCACGCCAAGTGCATAATACAATCCCTGAGGAGACGGATAACGCCATACGCTACAAAACCCAAGCACAACTATGGTGCAATAAATGACCTGCTTCTCGAGAGCCATCTTGCTCATATAACACCACAAGCTACACGGGATTACAACACATGTGCGAATAATCAAGCCGTCTCACAACCCACCTAGCACAATAGAGCATTACATGGAATAGTTGACGACGGGAATAACATCCAACGCCCGAAGACTCCTCCGGAAGCAATGCTATGCCGAATGAACGCGTCCTACCTGACGTAGAGCACACATTCACATTAGACCCACCAACAGACCTCAAGCCGATCCTGATTATACCATACAGGGCCAACAACCTTTCGAGGATCCACAATGGTTATGACACACACGAGCAGCCATCCCAATCCAGAACAAACTCCCATCGTTCACTACCCAGGGAATAGAGCGTCTTCCAGGCATAAACTCTCACATTAATGATAGTACCAAAAATCTCCATACCTGGTTTCAATCCTTAACAATCAAGTGACTAACATGTCACACTTATACAAATTTCCCCGTGGGATACGCTCCCACGACCTTCCGCACCAGGTAGAAAAGTATGCACATCCACACCACCAACCGTACTAATTTTGTAAAGCCAACCAAGAGTTCGCAAATCAATACACGATGCCTCTCACCCAGGATACCATTCTCAGGCGACCCTAAGATAGAGCCAGCTTCCTCTAAACATCTAAAACTTTCCCTGCTCATTCGAGCTCGTGACATTCTTATCAACACCGAGCCGCAACCTTGATCCTTAACTCCCAATTCCCATGCCGCCCACTGCACCTATCATGCCGCTACGCGAGAGTACAAGAATTCATCATAACCCCTGAACTACTAGTAGAATAAGCACTCCATTGGCTAGGAACCTTTCACTTAGCTTATTTCAGAAGAACCATTGCAACACTCAACTGTATCCCCAACCACAGAAAATACAAAGCTCAAGTCATGATCTAAACCATCGTAACTGTTCCGGGATCCATTACACATAACAAGGCCATTATAATCAAATACCTCCAAATCAATCAAATTATGGTGGTTGTTAAGCCCGCACGTACATCCACGAATCACCTGTATAGCTTACATACCGAAGGAACTGATCATTGCCACAATCACGCTGATTCGAACCATTACTAACCGACCCAACTTCTTCTAATTTACTCTTGACTTTCTTTAGAACTAATAGTAGCTCCATTAAAAAACATAACGAACCCGATCAACACTCATCCCGAGTGACCCAAACCACGAGACCACATCGTCTCAATACTCTTGAACTATCTCATACCCTCCTTATACGCACAATAGCATCTCTAACTGGTATACCCATTCTGAAGGATCTTTTACGAATCCTAAGTAGTTTCTCCCATTTCTCGCCCGCAGATCCGATGATAACATAGGAATTTCCCCAAGTATTCCTCACACTCTGCTATAAAATCCCGGTCTTCAGTCACATAATGGATCCCAAAATCCTTAGACGTTGCACCTTAGTTTTTGAACCCAATAGGACCCGTTGATGAGAGTCACCCACTCTAACCTGGTCCCGAATACAACTAAACTCCGACGCTCTACTAGCATATGAACACCCTCTCAAAAAAGCAACCGGCTAAATTCTTTTCCTTGTACATCACATCCACAATAAGTATAAACTCTGAGTCTTCCCAAAACTTGCGCACGAACTGATAAGGCAAAATATAGCACACATTTATCAAGTTCTTGCTCGAATTACCCCTGATGTTTTCGTTTCTTAGCCATAATTGATCCGCCGATGCATCGACAATCAGAAACCGCAAAGTAGATAACCACGTGATCTAATCGTAGACGGTGGGCTCCCCCACTTAGGTTTAAGATACCATCACATAATATAGAGCCCACATCAATTCCTCCATCTCAATTACCATGATCTCGCACCGTCAACCCGCCAAATTTCATATAGTCTCTTTTTAAACTTTTCTTGAACATTCCGAATTATCAGACACAATCGCATATTCTACTAGTAAGTAGAATTCTTCGTAGAAACTTCATCAACATCACACAACCGCTAACCTGCTCACATGAGATAACCCACCTGTGGAATTTCATGCCGACATCTTGCAACGATGCTGCACTAGGTACAACTACCACGCATTCAGTAAACCCTCCTAAGCTCATGCTCGTCCACCAGCTGTACAAGTCCGACAATACGTTCCAAACTCGAAATCACGTTGCATCCAAAAATGGTAATCAAGTTTTCACACCCCTCTTCATTTCAAGAAACTCCTCTTTGCCATACTCAATCTTCCCCAATGGAGTAGCTTCCATCTCAAATAAAATCCGTAGACCTAGTCACTTCCCACCACGATTCCCAAATCGTTCTAAACTTTTCTCAAGGCATGTGTCTATCCTACCATATAATCCATATACTACTCTGTCACTCTAACTTCGGTTAAACCATCTCCTTTAAGCAACTTTTCTACCTCTGCTTTGCATACTTGACCTTCTAGTAATTCAACCACCGCGAGACACCTCCCGCCATATCCTTCCTC